TTTTTTTTTTTTTTTTTTAAAGATTTATTTATTTATTTATTTTATTTTTGGCTGCATCAGGTCTTAGTTGTGGCACTTGGGCTCTTCGTTGTGGTATGCAGTCCTCTCTCTAGTTGTGGTGTGGGCTCTGCAGTTGTGGCATGCTGGTTCCAGAACGCATGGGCTCTGTAGTTTGTGGCACATGGGCTCTAGTTGAGGCGTGTGAGCTCAGTAGTTGCTACACGTGGGCTTAGTTGCCCCGCGGCATGTGGGATCTTAGTTCCCTGAGCAGGGATCGAACACGTGTACTCTGCATTGTAAGGCAAATTCTTTACCACTGGACCACCAGGGAAGTCCCTGTCCTTGCTTTTTGGATAGCTTCTGGTTGACAGATGTGTCAGCAAGGATAAACACCATGCCACCCAGACCAAGTAGTTCTTAGAAAAAAGAATTTGTGAGCACTGCTAAGAATCATGCTTAAGTAACGAGGAGCTACTCCAGCTGTAATTATAAATTCTCCTCTGAAATTACAGAAGTGGAATAATTTATATGTTCAGCACAGAGAGAAGTTCCCACAGGACCATTGTTTTCTCTTGAAAATGCGGTTTGCCCTTGCAGCTGTTGCCACTATGTAAACAAGCATCAAAAGGGTCTTTGAACTAAATGTTTGAATGACACGCCTGCATATAGACATGTTCCAGATGTTTCCCTGCTAGGAAAATTTTTTTCATAGACTCAGTCCCGTGTTAAAAAACTAAGTATCGGGCTTCACTGGTGGCGCAGTGGTTGAGAGTCCGCCTGCAGATGCAGGGGACACGGGTTCGTGCCCAGGTCCGGGAGCATCCCACATGCCGCGGAGCGGCTGGGCCCGTGAGCCATGGCCGCTGAGCCTGCGCGTCCAGAGCCTGTGCTCCGCAGCGGGAGAGGTCACAGCAGTGAGAGGCCCGCGTACCGCAAACAAAAAAAAAACAAACAAACAAAAACTAAGTATCTTCTCAAAGGATATACCTGTTAAAAATCTTGTATCATTTTCCCTGCCTGTGTGAATTCTCCAGAAATAAGTGAGTTCTGTATGGTTCGGAGAAACCACACAGATTTCCAGAGGGTATGTTGTTACATGTGGAGAGAATGATGAAACAGAATTTCACTTTCTGAAAATTTCTGAAAGATAAGCTGCTGTGTTTCTGAAAGATAAGCTGTTGCATTTCTTCCAGCTTGCTGAGGGGGAGTGGAGGAGGAAGGGCACAGAGCCGGGGAGTAGTTCTCCATCAATAAGCCGAAAGTCTCCCCCACTATTATCCCCCATCAGGCCCCTGCCAGCAACTTGCCAAACTGGCCCACTGTTCTTTCTCCATGCTCCTCTTAAAAATGGCTTCTCTGGAAATTTTTTCAAATATGATTATTCCCTTTAGTTGAAAAGGTAATAAGAAGCAAGAGAAGAAACCACATCTAAAACAAATCCTGGGGGTGGAGGGATGAATTGGGAGATTGGGACTGACATATATACACGACTATGTATAAAATAGGTAACTAATGAGAACCTACTGTATAGCACAGGGAACTCTACTCAGTGCTCTGTGGTGACCTACATGGGAAGGAAATCTTAAAAAGAGGGGATATATGTATACGTATAGCTGATTCACTTTGCTGCACAGCAGAAACTAACACAACGTTGTAAAGCAACTATACTCCAATAAAAATTAATAAAACAATACAGGACTTCCCCAGCAGTCCAGTGGTTAAGACTCTGCCTTCCAATGTAGAAGGCGTGGGTTTGATCCCTGGTCAGGGAAATAAGATCCCACATGCTGTGGGGTGTGGCCAAAAACTAACTAACTAAATAAATAAAATAATAGAATAGACTAGAATAGAATAGAATAGATAACCAACAAGGACCTACTGTATAGCACAGGAAACTCTGCTCAATATTATGTAACAACCTAAATGGAAAAAGAATTTGAAAAAGAATAGATACATGTATATGTATAACTGAATCACTTTGCCGTACACCTGAAACTAACACAACACTGTTAATCAACTATACTCCAATATGAAATAAAAACTTTAAAAAAGTAATTTATATTTCACTTTAAAATTAAATCAATCAATAAAATCCTGTACTCCATGACTTTCTTTACATTATATAATCAGCAGTACAGGACCTGGTAATGGAGTAAAGACAAGTCAATTCAATTAAAATCTGAGTTTTATACTTATACCTGGACCTGTCTGACATGAGTGTTCACAGTATCTCTCTAATAAAGATCTGTGATGAATACCTGCCTAAGATATCAGACAGTTCATATTATTACCACTGTGTGATATTACTACTAGCTATAGTAATTTTTCACTTGGGTTACCCCTTAAAATTCACAAAATGTCTTGTATACATAGCCTTATCTTGATATTTCTGCTCACCTCACCTTGAGAGATGAGACAGTACAGATGAACAATTTGTCAAACCACCACACATAGTAAATAGCAGAGTCAAGACTTGAAGGAAGGTCTCTTATCTCTACATCCAGTTGTTCAGCATCTCCATCATGTATCACAGCCCAGCTCTTCATCTATGCCTCCAGTCTTGCTAGAAATAGAGCTATTCCTATAAAGGAAATAATACTCCATAGCTGTTCAGCCCTACTAGACTTGGTGTCCTGTTTCATACAGTTTTTCAATTAGTTCAAGATTAAATTATTTTTTTACTACTGATAGAGTTAGGAAAGTATGCAAATATTGAATAAAGGCTTTATAACTTTTCCTGCTAATTATCAGTGAATACTTCGAAGTTAATTTAAGAAAATGCCCAGTGCTATAGCCTATGGTTAATTTGATTTCAACTTTACGCTAAACAACATTTTTCAAAATTATAAAGTACCAATGCTTTGTAAAAGTTTGAAAAACACAGAAAATAATTCCAAAAGTCAAAGGTTGCTATTATTGAAATCATTTTGGCCCTATTTTCCCCCATTCTCTTGCATATATAACTTTTTCTTAATCACGATTGGGGTTTTGTTTTCACTTAAGATTACATTCTGACTATTTGCTTGTATCTTTAAAAGTTCTAGAGAATATCTTTTAACTGATATTATAAATGAAATATATTACTACTAACAATGACGACAAGAAAAAAGTAGCTAGAAATTTTAAACATTAACATTTAGGCATGAAAAACAAACCAGTTCTTAATTTTTTTCAGACACAAGCAAGGTTCCTATCTGATCATTCCAACCCAACTGCTGATTCCTTGAGTTCCTTCCAACAGGCTGAGATGTTGGTACCATCTGAGCACACTGCAATCCCCACTGTAAGGGCTGAAGACGCAGAAAATGAAACTGAAGTGTCCATAGAAGACCATCCCACTCATAAGGTAAAAGTAACATGGTTATACTAGTACAGACTTTTGTCTCTCAAGGTCTCAATTCTAAAGCGTGGTCAAAGAGACTACCTGATTCACTCTAAGTTTGATTTCTTTAAGATGATGATCACATCAACTGCCTCCAATCTCTAACAGAATTGTGAGGATTAATGATTTTTAATTCTTGGGCTGAATTAAAATAATTGTTTTATTTCAAACAATAATTGTTTTATTTCAAAAAATTCAAGTTGAGGTTAAACTTGTAGCTATTGAATGTGAAGAACATCAAAAATAAGTTTATAAGACATTATGTGAAGAAAAAGAATTAAGAAATATTCAATGTTGGCTTATGAATTGTAAATATGATGTAGATATGACATAATCATTTGTTTCAAGGATAAACTTTTTTCTTTTTAGCCTGAAAAATCTTCAGTACTAAAGTCAGAGGAGGAAAACCATGACCAGTCAGCAGATCAGGACCAGAGTTACAGCCAACACCTGGGATTACAGGATCAAGAGAAAAGTGAAAGTGACTTAATTGAGAATTTGGGGTATACACCAACTGAAGGTACACTGGACCTAAAAGAAGATATGAGTGAGCCTCCAAAGGAAAAACTCCCGGAGAGATTCCCTGGTCATGATGTTAGTTCCACTGTAGATTCTAATCAACAAGAAAGCATCACAGAGACAGAGGAAAACCAAGAACAACCTATTAATGGCTCACATCCTCAGCTGAACGGGAGCAGCGAACATAGCCAAGACCTAAGTGTTCAAGGAAACCAAGAGCAGGGTCCAAATATCCCAAATGGGGAAGAGGAGGAGCCAGGTCAAATTGGTACCCACAATGATAGCCAAGAAAGAGAGAGAGACGCTCCCGAGCAGCATTCTACCAGCAACCAGGAAGAAGACAGTACACAGTCTGATGATATTTTGGAAGAGTCCTATCAGCCAACTCAAGTAAGCAAGATGCAGAAAGATGAATTTGAACAGGGTGGCCAAGAACAAGAAGAGGAAATCTCCAATGCAGAAATGGAAGAGGAGACTGCATCAAAAATCAGTAAGCCCAATCAAGATAAAGAATGGCAGAGCCAAGAAGGACAGCCTGGCCTTGAAGTTATCAGCAACCATGAGGAGATGGACAAAAAGACTCTTTCTCAGCCTTTGCTGGTGGAGCCTACGGATGGTGGTAACATCATGCCCAGAAATCATGGGACTGATGATGACGGCGATGATGGCCCCAGGCACAGTGCGAGTGAGGAGGACTTCAACCCAAGCGAGGCTTTCCTGGAGAATGAAAGAGCTCAATCCAATTACTATCACATTAACTATGAGGAGCAAAGAGAAAAAGCACGTGAGAATGAGAATGTAGATACCAGCGAACCTGCAGAAAACCGAGGGGTGAGATCGTTTACAATGATGCTTGTCCGATAAAGTGGTTAGCTTTTCAAACAGTAGCCATGACCTTTCTCTGTGCTCTTGCAATCCCGTGTGCTCATCTCTTAGTACATTACTAAAATATATTATAATTATTTATTTTTCTCTACATCTCCATCATTAGTCTGAAAGTGCCTGTTTTATTTGGGATCCCCTAGAAGCATATCCTGGATTTTAGTGCACTTTGTTTGAGAAATTCAGGGAACAAAGGAAGCTAATCAACGGTACATAATTAAAGCCATGTAAAGCACATTCCTCTGAATTAGCCCCTTTGGAGAGTGAGGGAGCTATGGCTTTTATGTAAGCTGAGGATTACTAGGAGAGGTGTGAATTCCCCAGCAATTCCAGTCTGTCCTTGAGCAGGCCATACAGAGTGCCGTGGTTTTCCAGGCACAGAGATGCAGATACTGGCAGTTGAACGTCCCTGGCACTAACTAGAGTGGTAAATTCTGATAGATAAGAGGGATGGCGGGCATGACAACTGCTGCTCTCATGCCTTGATAGCAGGTGCCAGGTCATAGTCAAGTTGATCACCAATGTCTAGCAGAATGCCTCTAACATAATAACGTAAGAGATCCAGCAATGTTTATTGATTTAGCTATAAAGGCAAAGAACAAAGACTTCAGCTACAGCTTCATGAAGCAAACACACACCAAAATGATAATCGGGAAGCGGCAACAGGGTGAGGGAAGGGAAGAAACATATTGCTATTTGGTTGTTTAATCATTTGGAGCTTTCGTGCAAAACTCTGGCAGCCACCCACCAGGAGCACCTAGCACAGCTTTTGGTGGGCAAGGTGAATACTAATTTCGATTCCTGAGAACTCTGCTGCCATTCTAAGGCAGGAGTTTTCTTACATTTTAGAAACCTGGTAAGAAACATTTCCCAATAGCGTCACAGATTACTAATGTAATCATGTCTTAACTATAGAATCACGTGGTAGTACCGCATTTTTACTGTTTTCCCAAACCAAAGGGGAGGTTCCAACTTAGCTTCTGGTATTAGTTCCAATGTTTCTTGGGTAACCCCCAGAGATATAGCACTGAACCCAGTTCATAAAGATAGATAGAAATGGCTCCTGTTCTCAGAGGGTTACTATCTATTTCCACGGTTGCGGCTGCTGTCTTCTCCTTCTGAGATCTGAAACGAGTGGAGTGTGAAAAGATCTGTGAAGGTACGCACAGTGGAAATATAAATTATGTAAAGGCTTTCCCTAAAGTAGACTTCAACTTCTGCTCTTGTTATTATAAAGGCCAAGAAAGCAGAAAGCTCACCGAATGAAGATGACAGTTCAACTGAAGGCAACACAAGGGTGCACAGTGTCGGTGAGTACGGGCTAAGCAAGCAGCCTGTGACTATATGAGGAGAGAGACGGAATGGGCTATGTTGGGCTATCCCCACGCCTTCATTTGTGACTACTGCACAGAATTTTTCCTCTCCCCACTCCTCCCCAAGGAAATGCTCCCATAAATTGTTGACATTCTCGTGTGCACATTTGATCTACAACTATGGTAACTGTGTTTACAAACTGGAAATCCGGTTGCAATGTTACTACAAAAGCTAGAATTCTTTTCCTCTAAGTCCTTTTGCTTCGAAGAAGAAAAATTGATTCTACCTTATTTACACTCAAATCCATAACTTAGAATTGAGATCCCATATTTAATAAAGACCTAATTCTTTTTTTTTTTTTTTTTTTTTTTTTTTGCGGTACGCGGGCCTCTCACTGTGGTGGCCTCTCCCGTTGCGGAGCACAGACTCCGGACGCGCAGGCTCAGCGGCCATGGCTCACGGGCCCAGCCTCTCTGCGGCACGTGGGATCTTCCCGGACCAGGGCACGAACCCGCGTCCCCTGCATCGGCAGGCGGACTCTCAACCGCTGCGCCACCAGGGAAGCCCCCAAGACCTAATTCTTAATCACATACCCCAATCACAAAATTTTGAATTTCAACCATAAAAATTCTCATGGCTTATTTAACTTTTGACCAACTTGCACAGCACTGCTCTGTAGACGTCAGACTATGACCATTGCCGGCAGGTCAAGAAAAGTTGTTTGTTCTTTTTAAATCCCCAATCCAAACTGCAAAGAAATCTAGACTATTCTGCAAAATAGTCTGGAGCCAGAGGGTCCCACCTGAAAATTAACACATCCATTAAAAAGGCTTCTAATGTTTTCACAAATCTTCTCTTATTCATGAAAATGGAACTGTCTGGATGAATTTGAGTTTACGTACTCAGTTTAGCTTTGTCCATGTTTCCTGTCCAAACTTTTCTGTTAGATTCTTGCATGAGCTTCCAGTGTAAAAGAGGACACGTCTGCAAGGCTGATCAACAGGGAAAACCCCACTGTGCTTGCCAAGATCCAGTGACTTGTCCTCCTACAAAACTCCTTGACCAAGTAAGGATTCTACAAAATGGTCTCTAAGGGGCATCAAACAGTTAGTGATGTGAATGAAAGTAATTTGCTGTTGAAATCTTTTGTTAAAGGAAAAAGTAAATGCCCAGGTTATCATCTAATATTTAAACAACAGTCAATAGAAACAGCAGTTCATTAGACAGACTTTAAGGAACAGAGTGTTTTCCCAATGAACATTCCCAAGCTTGAGGTTTTTCTCATACTTGTCTTTCTTAGGTTTGTGGCACTGACAATCAGACCTATGCCAGCTCCTGCCATCTCTTTGCTACTAAGTGCAGATTGGAGGGGACCAAAAAGGGGCACCAACTGCAGCTGGATTATTTTGGAGCTTGCAAATGTAAGAGTCTAACCACCACTGCTGAAAGTGTTTTGGGTGAATCTGAATTATATACATACATAAATGTACTCATATATATGCAGACAATAGCAAAAAGTTAATGTAGTTCTGAATACAGGCTGCACATTAAAATAACTGGGAAGACTTTTTTAAAAATTAGAAGAATAATGTCCAGGCTTTAACTGTAAGAGATTCTGACTTAATTGGACTGGGTTGGAACCTTGGCATTGTTTTTTCGTTTGTTTTCAAAGTAACCGAGACAATTCTAATGTGCAGCCAGCGTTCAGAACCACTATGATAATGTTATCCACTTAATAACTGAGATGAATCATTGGAGTTTTGTTAAATTAGTCGTCCTCTTCCAAAAGCTAAGCCTTTGCCAAGAAGTTTTAGTGACAGCATAGTCCTCCAGAAGTTTTTGAAATTGTCGTCCTCCCCCAGGATACTCTCAATTGTGTTTGGATCTCCTGGCTGCTAAGTGATTCTCCACATTGGCAGTGCTCACTAACCTCTCCTGTCTTTCCAGACACAAGAGAGGATTCAGTTTCTCAGCCCCCTTGATGTTAGATGCAGCCATATGAGTTGCTTTGTCCAGTGAAATCTGAGCAAAAATCATCCATGGGAGTTCTGGACAGAGCATTTAAGAGCTGCTGTATGGCTCTCCATGCCGTCTTCGCCTCGTGTTGAGATGATGCTGAATGGCGGTGTCTCCCCCATCCTGAGCCCCAGAGAGACAGATGAGCAGAGGTCTCCTCCCAACTTATAGGGAACATGTAGCAGGACGCAGAGATAAACATTTGATGTGATGTACAACATAGTAGTCAACACTGCTGTATATGGTATATTTGAAAGTTGCTAAGAGAGTAGATCCTGAAAGTTCTCACCACAAGGAAATAAAAAACTCAAGTTAACTATCTGAGGTTATGAATGTTTAACTAAACTAATGATTACTGTGGTAATCATTACACAATATATGTATGTTAAGTCATTAAGCTGCACACCTTAAACTTACAGTGTGGTATGTCACTTATATTTCAATAAACCTGAAAAAAATGTTTGCTCCTTTAAGCCACTGAGATTTAACATTATTTCCACAGTATAAGCTAACTGCTGCCTTTTGCTCTTTTCTCCTAATAAATAGCTCTTGTGACCTCCACCTCTGAATTCCAACTCTCTGATTCTAGAGTAGTGGTTCTCAGCCCTGGCTGCACATCACAATTACTTCTGGAGCTTTTTAAAACATCCTGATGCCCAGGCTCCACCCCCAGATGAATCAAATCAGGATTTCTTTGAAAGGAAGCTGGCATCTGGTATGTTTTTAAAACACTCCTGGCAATTCTGTTATGGTGCCAGGGTTAAGGACCACTGTTGTGATGGAGGGGCAGTGAGGATGCTGTCAGTCACCGGAAGTTGTCAAGCGTCCTGTTATGAGGACTTTCCTTGGGACCGGAGTAAGACCCAAAAATTAAAATCAATTTACTTTCTGCCTGGAACAGCTCTTCCTGCTTGTACGGACTTTGAAGTGACCCAGTTTCCTCTAAGGATGAGAGACTGGCTCAAGAATATCCTCATGCAGCTTTATGAACCTAACCCTGAGCACGCTGGATATCTAAATGAGAAGCAGAGAAATAAAGTAAGTTATCCACGGCCAGCTACCTAAGCGTCTGTCTACAGGGCTTGAGGAAAAAAGCGTCAGGGGACGGGGACGGGGGGAGGGCTATATCAGCCCTTCCTCTGCATATCAGAAACCACACCTAGTTAACACCCATGGATTAACAGAATAGTAGTGGTCATTATTCATGCCTCAAAGTCTGGGGCACAGCCAAACCACCCGATTCAGACACGCAGGGCAGGGGCCTGAGCAAGACATCTTGAACTCATCCCTAGAGCAAACTCTGTTGACCAAAGTGAACCTCAGTTCAGCGTTTATATGTTCAGGCCCAGGCATATTATTTAAATCTAAACGTGTTTTATGCCTTTATAGGCCAGACATAGATTTATGATATAAGGGAAATCCATTATTAACAATGTCAGTAATATATTAAGATTAAAAAGTGCAGAATATTAATCCTACAAGTTCCCAGGGAAAATTCATTCATCAGATAGTTATTGAGTGTATACCAGGTACCTGGAATTGATTTACATGCTGGAAATACAGCAAGGGACCAAACAAAAATCTCTGCCTTCATGAGCCTACATTCTAGGCAAAGAGATGATATATACTTATATACACATGTATGCAAATATGAACATACATGCAAATGTATAAATATATGCAAATAAACATTTATGCAAATATGTTATGTCAGGTGGGATGAAACATGCTATAAAGAAAAAAATAAAACATGTAGGGGGGTGTGCATTAACTGTGTCAAATGCTGTTTACAGGTTGTTAAGATGGGGACTGAGAGTTGGCCCCTGATTTGGCACATGACAGTCATAGTTGACCTTGACAGGAGCTGTTTTTGCAAGAGAAAAGCCTGAATGGATAGGGTTCAAAAGAGAATAGGAGGAATGATGTAAAAGCAGCAAGTATAGAAGACATTTTGCTGTAAAGGGGAAAAGTGAAATGGGTGGCAGGTGGAGAGGAATGTGAATTCAAGGGTCCTGTCTACCAGCGGGAGGTGACAGAGGATGTTTGTATGCCTCTGGAAATAACCCAGTAAAGAAGGAAGGGTGCCCAACTGCCACAGGGTATTCTTGAGTAGATGAGAAGGGGTGAGCTTCTGAGCACCAGTGAGCGGCTGGGCTTAGTAGATGAGGAACGAAGGAATTTCATGCATGGTGACAAGGAGGGAAATTGGTAGATGTGTTCATGAGAACAAGCAGAAGTTCTGTTCTGACTGCTTCCAGTTACTCAGTGCACTAACAGGTAACGTCACAAGCTGGTAGTTTTATACGCATTGCCCCTAAATAATTTCTATCCTCTCTCTTTAACAACACATTGCCACAGACAGCCTTGAGAGCATTAGATACAAAACAGGGAAATTTCAATGCGGGTGCCAAGCAGCATCACGCCAGGGCTAACCTGAGCCGCAGCAGGCACTGGATGGAAATACATAAAGGATTAAGAATGGAGTATGCCAGGACTTCCCTGGTGGTCCAGGGGTAAAGAATCCGTCTTCCAGTGCAGGGGACGCAGGTTTGATCCCTGGTCAGGGAACTAAGATCCCATATGCCGCGGTGCAACTAAGCCCGAGTGCCACAACTACTGAGCTCACACACCTCAACTAGAGCCCAAGTGCCGCAAACTACAGAGCCCGCGGGCCCTGGAACTGGCATGCCACAGCGGCAGAGCCCACGCCACAGCTCGAGAGAAGCCTGCGTACCACAACGAAGAGCCCACATGCCTCAACTAAGACCCGATGCAGCCAAAAATAAGTTTAATTAATTAATAATCTTGAAAAAAAAAAAAAAGAATGGAGTATGCCAGTGGGGAAGAACAGAACTTTTCACCAGAAAATGAACAATTTTGTCTAGGTCCATTCAGCCCTTTTCATTAAAACCTTTTCATAGTTTTAAGAAATGTAAGGAACATCACTTGGTTAAAAGATCAAAAAAAGTCTTAAATTTCTTCTGAAAACCCCAGGGTTTTTTAAATGTTAGTTGTTATTCTATGCAGAATGCTGTACTGTTGGTTAGAAGGCATATAATTTGTTCTCAAATAACATTCTGGGTTTGTTTTCCTCTGTCATGTTAGGAATACTCTTCAAGTAAAGTTTAGCAAGTGATAATTCCATTACACTTGTCTGATTCTCTAATGATCATCTCCCTTCCTAATCTCAGGTCAAGAAAATTTACCTGGATGAAAAGAGACTCCTGGCTGGGGACCACTCAATTGACCTTCTCTTAAGAGACTTTAAGAAAAACTACCACATGTATGTGTATCCGGTACACTGGCAGTTTAGTGAACTGGATCAACATCCTAGGGACAGGTAAAAACTTTCCACCTTCCCATTAACTAGGTCATCTCCCTGATATAATGTCTAGTTATCTATACCCAAGAATTCTAAACAGATTTAGGAAACTTCCCAGTTCCATTTTAGAACACAGAAATGTCAAGCAAATACGGTTATGAGTCTAAACACAAAGCTGCTTTGAGGGACTTCCCTGGCCGTCCAGTGGTTAAGATTTCGCCTTCCAGTGCAGGGTGTATGGGTTTGATCCCTGGGCAGGGAGCTAAGATCCCACATGCCTCGCGGCCAAAAAACCAAAACATACAACAGAAGCAATATTGTAACAAATTCAATAAAGACTTTAAAAATGATCCACATCCAAAAAATTTAAGAAAAAAAGAAAAGTGCTGCTTTGACCATAACAGAATATGGCCACAATTCCACAAGCTCCCAAGTTTACATGTTAGGGTCCAGCCTCCCGAGAGGCTCTTTCCACTCTTCCTCATTCTTGATCCTAAATTCTGAAGCTAATCTGATTGGCCCCAGTTGGATTAAGCACCTACGTCTGGAATGATCCGGTACGGCCGGTGGTAAGAGCCAGGTTGTATAAACATGATTGTTGGGATGCAGCGCTATAAATTTAGGGTGGAGGGAGGATAGTTCCTAGGGAGGAAGGAAACCTTATGAATTGACATCCCAAAAGCTGTCTGTCTTACCCACAAATCGTTTATTTCATTTGTAGCTCTTCATGAACGCACTCCTTATTTGCCGTCCTCAGCAGCCTTGGGGAAGAAAAATGCCCTTGGTGATCGTAAGAGTTAGCTCTTCATTCACAAGTTAGTAACCCAGTTAATTGGCTGCCATTTATCTCATTGCAGAGTCTTGACCCACTCTGAGCTCGCTCCTTTGCGGGCATCTCTGGTGCCCCTGGAACACTGCATAACGCGCTTCTTTGAAGAGTGTGACCCCAACAAGGATAAGCACATCACCCTGGAGGAGTGGGGTCACTGCTTTGAAATTAAAGAAGGTACATTCATCATCAGCCCAGGGAGTGGGGGTGTCCTCTTCTCCAGATAAGCCCTAAGCCCACAGCCCTCATAGACAGGTCCTGCTGTGTGTTCAAATTGAAACCTAGAGACCACAAGGTGGCAGACTGCAAGGTTATTTCTTACTCCCTTTATGATCTCTGTTTCAAAGTGTAGCAAGGGTGAATATTTAATGTGTAACTGCACCGAGGTCTCAGAAATTGGCTAAGCCTAAGAAAGTGATGTGAATCCAGAGAGCTGTGCCAAATCTCCGAAGGCTACCTTTCTACGGAAGGAAGGAAGGACTTTATATCCTTCCTTAACCTGAGTATGGGGCCAAACTTTAAAAAATCATATGTGGGGCTTCCCTGGTGGCACAGTGGTTGGGAGTCTGCCTGCCGATGCAGGGGACACGGGTTCATGCCCCGGTCTGGGAGGATCCCACATGCCGCGGAGCGACTGGGCCCGTGAGCCGTGGCTGCTGGGCCTGCACGTCCGGAGCCTGTGCTCCGCAGCGGGAGAGGCCACAACAGTGAGAGGCCCGGGTACCGCGAAAAAAAGAAAAAAAAAAATCGTATGTGAAGAGTAAAACAGCAAGCTTGATTCTGAAAATGGGAGATGCCAGAAGAATCTTAGAATTTAATACCAACACACTAAAGATTTTCACCAGTTGTGCCCAGGTGTTATTCCTTTAATCCAAAAGGAATTCCTCCTGCAGCGGAGGAATTTAAATTTAGACATTTGTTTTGCTAGGTTATGTCTTAATGTACTTCCTTTTCTTTTCCTAAGTTACAGTTGATTTTTATGAGCAAGTCTGTTTTTAATAATCGAGATATGAAAGGTATTCAAACAATGAGCAATCAAAACTCACAGAATGTAAATCAACAATGAACATCAAATCTCTAAAGCAGAGGTTTTACCCATGTGTTCACGACATACATATATGTAGGATGACTATGCAGCCAAGAAATAAAGAAAAGTAAGTTCATCAAAGGTCAGAGTTTCCCCAAAAGAGGTAACTTGTGTGAACTTCACTCTAAAAATATTCTTTATGCATATGTATGATGGCTTGAAATTGGAAAGAAAGAGTTGAAATATGAGGATTTAGTTATTTACTGATAAATAGATAAGCAGAAAAGGTCCTTTTCCTCTGCAGTGTTATTCTGTGAAATACGTACCACTGCAATGAGCAAAGAATGAATCTTTTTGTAAGCACCTAGTTCTGTGTATTAGTTGTCTATTTCTGCACAACAAATTACCCTAAAGATCAGAAGCTTAAAATCTCTCTCACAGTTTCTGAGGATTAGGAATCCGGGAGGACCTTACCTGGATGGATCTGCCTTAGGATCTGCTCTAAGCTCACTCACATGGCTATTGGTAGGAGGCTTCAGTTCCTCACCATGTGGTCCTTTGCACAGTACTGCTCATAACATGGTATCTGGTTTCCTCCAGAGCAAGTGATCAGAGACAGAGATAGAAAGAAAGAGAGTCCAAGACAGAAGCCACAGTTCCCTGTAGGACTAATCTCAGAAGTGACATATTTCTGCCATATTCTGTTTGTCACACAGTCTAACCCTGCTACAATGTGGGGGGAGACCACAGGAGATGGGGATCATTGGGGGCCAGAGTGGAGACTGTTGACCCCATACTGTTTACATCCTATTAACATCAATAGGAAATTAACAGGCAATTAAGACCCAGTCTCATGCAAATAATGCCAATTTCCTTTCTAACACCTATTCTATAAGCACAGTACTTACAAATTCATATACATCCCTAAAAATGACTAACAGTGTTTTTTCCAATTCCCATGTTGAAAAGATAAAATGTACCCAAGGACAGCTGCCCCGACCCCTCACCTCCACCATTATCAAGAAAAAAACTTAGCTGGGATGGGACATATTTATGTATGCCCTTTTATATGGCACGTGATTTTAAAGGAGTGATCCAAAGGCAAATTTAAAGAGGCCATTTAAGGAAACCAGTTGCACTTCACTGTTCCTTTCAAAATTTCTGGCAGCTCTTCAGCATATGAGCCTACTCAGGCCCTGTGCTGGGTGGTTGTCTGGGAGAAGCAGGAAGGGCTTAAAGTTCTGAGACTCACAAAGCTCCTAACGTTCTTGTTTGTTCACTGTGGTTTGGCCATGATTACATTTTGAAGAAGGGAAAGAATTATCACACAATAAGCCAATAAAGCAGATATTAAATATTCGGTCAGGACATGTAAACAAGTTACTGCTTTGGGATTCAGCTAGGGAAAGGAAAAAAATGTCTATTTGTAAGCATACAAATGTATTCCCTCAGGACGGAGAAATCCACAGGACAAGATAAATTGTAGCCAGTGTTGTCCTGAATTTTAACCTCCTTTGCTCTGAGCTAGATGTGCTCAAATATTCCAGCTCTGTTATTAACTAGCTATGCGAATTAGGGCATGCCACTTATCCTCAGCAAGTCTCATTTTCCTTGTGTGTAAAAATGGGATTCAGTTACGAGGTGAAGGAGTCTTATTTATTTAGTGCCTATGACATACTGTGGATTAACATATATCCACATTACTCTTTAGGAAAAACTTTCAAGCTAGATGAACAGGGGAAATAAGTCACATCATGCAGGTCCTACTAAGCCAGTTAAAGACATTATCCTCACAGTACTGGAGGATCCCCAAAGGGTTTTTAACAAGGGAGTGATTTCACTGGATTTGTACTTAAGAAAGATTCTTTTGGTTACACTGTGGATAAGCCAGAGAACTGTTGTGGTGAATCCAGGCAAAAGTTGATGAGAACCTGAATTAGGGCAGTTATAGTAGGGAAAAAGAAAAGTAAACATATTCAAATATATTTTAAAATATCAATATATTCAATATATCGTTGAGAATATAAACATATTCAAGATGTACAGTATGCAGAAATAACAAGACAGTGTTTCATAGGAAATACGCGGAGGCAGGAAGCAGGCAGTTAGGTTGAGAGGAAGGGAAGTACAATGCCTAGGTTCCTGGCACAGGCCAGGCAGGGTAAGGAGAGGTACCTTCCACTGAGACAGAAAACACAAGAACAGAAGCAGGTTTGGGGGGAAAAGATACATTCCATTTGGGACACATTAAATTTTGAAGTCGTTGGGTAACAATGTACAGTTGATAGTTGAGGGACTTCCCTGGTGGTCCAGTGGTTAAGACTCTGCACTTCCAATGCAAGGGGTGGGGGTTCGATCCCTGGTCAGGGAGCTAAGAGCCCACACGCTGTGCAGCACTGCCAAGAAGATAAAAATGAAAAAAAAAAGATAGTTGAATATATGGGCCTGCTTTTCAAGACAGAATTTAGGAATTGAAATACATATGTGGAGATTGTGAGCATACAGAAAATAATTGATACCAGGAAAGGAAATTAATTCTCTTAGGAAAATGTGCTGAGTTACATGGAAAAGGGTTTTGGGTTGAATACCAAGGAACAACATCTAGATGATGGATACAGGAGGAAGAAAGAGCACATGAAGCAAAATGAAAAGTCTCCTGAAAGGAAAAAGAAAAGAGGATAGTGGGCTTCCCTGGTGGCGCAGTGGTTGAGAGTCCACCTGCCGATGCAGGGGACGCGGGTTTGTGCCCCGGAGCGGCTAGGCCCGTGAACCATGGCTGCTGAGCCTGCGTGTCCGGAGCCTGTGCTCCACAACGGGAGAGGCCACAACAGTGAGAGGCCCGCGTAACGCAAAAAAAAAAACAACAAAAAAAAAACGAGGATAGTGCCATATCTAAGGAGGTGTTTCAAAGAGGAGGAAGAGATCACAGTGCTAAATGCTGCTGAGATGTCAAGTAAGGTAAAAGACTGAGAATATTCATTGGACGTAGAAATAAGGATACCCTGGATGGCCTTGGAAGAGCAGTTTTTGTGGAATGGTAGAGATAGAAGCAAGACACATAAGAAAGAAGAGGAGATAAGAAAAGCTAAAGAGTGAAGGTTTGAAAGCAGGAAT